CATACGTCAAATGCAAACGTTAGAAGAGATGTCGTGTGAGGTTCTGTCTAGCTTGTACAGTGTGAGCTATTTTAAAGGAGGAAAGCTGCCCAGAGCAATCGTCCTTGGAACTTGCAGTGCATAAACGTGACCAGCAGAGGACAGAAGTGCCTACTCCTTTAAGGAGTAACGTTTCCAATTTTCTACTGCCATGGTAGAGCTTTGATCCTACAAATGGGACAGTGTTTGGACCACTTAATAACAACCAACCCTAAAAGTAAAATTTCTTTTTATTAAACATTTTAATTTTACATTTGTAAATGGAAAAGAAATTCTTATTGTGTTGGCTCTGGGACATCCCTTTCTTGGTTCAACTCCTTCCTCCTTGACCACTCCTTCTCAGTCTCCTGTGCTAGTCTCATCTCATCTCTTCGACCTCTACTTGTTGGGTTACCTGCCAGGGCCCAGTCTGCCTTCATTGATTTAACTCATTGCCTAGTAACCTTGTCCTGTTTCCCAAATCTGCATCTCCAGCCCAGACGATTTCCCTGAACTCCAGAATCACACACATTGATCCATCTGCCCACGGGGTATTGCCAATTAGAGGTCTAGTGGGCGTCTCAAAAATCTAGTATGCCCTTCTCTAAGTCCTGATTCCCGCCTGCTTTCCTCACCTCAGAAAATGTCTTTCTGAATTCTCTCGTTGCTCAGGTTCAAACACTTGCAATCACCCTCGATTTCACATTTCTTCCACACCTCACATCCAATATGTTAATAAATTCTACTTTTTCTACATTGAAATATGACCAGAATCTGACACTTTTTACCAAAGCTGCCACTGGGCCTCTTGACTGTTATTGAGAAAGGAGGTGTGTTCTGGTCTGTAAAGATTGTTAAAGGATGTTAAATTGGGACTTTTTTTGGTATTTGTTTTGTAATGTATCTTAAAGGCAAAGAATAATGTAATAGATACCGTGTCCTCTAATGGAATTCTTCATTTCTCCCTTCCTCCACTGCCTTTTTGGGGATGGTGGAAATATTTAAAGAAACAATTTTATTGCTGTTCACCAGATGCAGGAGGCTGTGGTGGGGTGGCCTCGAGTGGACTGTTTAAGCCTAGAACTTAGAAACAAGGGTCCCTGTGGAGCACAGACCCTAACAGGTCTTGGTGAGTAACAGAATGGATAAAAGAGAGCTCAGTCTGGCCATAAATCCTTTGACCAGTTTCCACGCATTGCCATGAGAAATTCCCCAAGAAGGCACCTGCCTCTCCTCTTTTTCAGGCAATTCTATTTACTAGATTCTGGAGAATTCAATGTCATCGAATTCCATGCCTTCTAGTCAGATGGTGCATTAGTCACAGGTTTTTTTTTTTTTTTTTTTTTGCAAGTAACGTAAGTCAGCTGTAATACATACAAGTAGAAAGGAATTAGAAAAAGAAAAGTAGTTATACTAATGTGAAAGGAAAATAAATCTCAGGACCCCCAAATCACTAAGCCAAAAGGGAAAGTCAAGCTGGGAACTGCATCAGGCAAACCTGCCTCCCATTTTATTCCCAAATGAGATAGCTACAAAGATAAAAAAGCTACATACCCTCCTCACAATTTGCCAGCAAGGGGATTCCTTATGGACAAAGAAAGGACAGAACTCAAAGTCATCCCTCTGTTTACTACAGACAAATGCATATCTGGTTGCTGCTTCTCCTCTATTGTGTCAATAAACACTACTAAGGCATAAATGACTATTTCTCTACCCTCCTTTCACATGTAAATTATATATTCAGTGAAAGGCTGATCAGAGACTCAAAATCATACAACCCCATCTGGAAGCCCCCTTCCCTGCCTCGAGCTGTCATGCCTTTCCAGACCGAAGCAACGTACATCTTATACATATTGATTAATGTCTCTTGTCTCCCTAGAATGTATGAAACCAAGCTGGGCCTCGACCACCTTGGGCGGACGTTGCCAGGACTTCTGGAGGCTTTATCACGGGTGTGCCCTTAACCTTGGGAAAATAAACTTTCTACATTAGTTGAGATCTATCTCAGATACTTTTGAGTTCACACTAGTTGTTCACAAAGACACGAGGAAGGCTGTAGAGCCAGGATGGGGCCACGCAGGTGGAAAATGTACCCTTGATCATGTCACTAAACTAGTCCAGGGACACGCCCAAAACCTGCTCTGTCGCTTGACGCTGCAGTATGTGCTAATGTCATCACTGCTAATGGATTGTGGTCTCACTGCTAGTGCGAGTCATTTTCTTTATTACTTTTCTCAAATTTGAGTGAGGTGAATCTGTAGCTCCACAAGATGGTGTAACAGGGGCAATGTGAAGCCATGTAACCTTATTTTTGTAGTGTCCATATTACTTGAATGTTTCATGAAAAAAATTTATATTAAAATTTATGCACACATAAAAGGCACAAGTTGTAATATTCGCTATGAGAAGAAAACATGATTTAAAAGATAATCTTCAAACGGCACAAATAGCAGTGAGGGAGACGAAGATAGTTACTCACTTTACTGTGAACCATGAGAAGCCCCATCTTAAAGTATCTAATGAAATACGCTGATTTATAATAGCAAATTTATTCCTGCATCTTACTACAGCCTTTTCTGCTAGACTTTGGGTTGGAGAAGTGATGTGATAAGGTGGAAAAAGCACAAAATTAGGAATCTAAAGACCTGATTTTAGCCTCAGCTCTGCCACAAACTAAATAAGTGTTAAGACATTTCTATCTGTGCCCTCTAAGATATTCCCTCACATCAAAGCATGCAATAGATAATTTCTAAAGTTCTTTTTGGCTTTTAGTCTCTAAGTCATTGGAATGAGGAAGTTAGTTGAGCATTCTTCTTTGGAGCTGTAGAACATTATTGTGATCACCAGAAGGCACAGGATCCCGTGGTGGTATAGGATTACAGGAAATGAACGAAACACAGTCTTCTCTCACTTCTCTCTCTGTTCTCTCTTTTGTGTATTTATATTATCCATAATAAAGTAGGTTATACCATTGCCCCAAATCTCATGTCTTGCTTATGTCTTGTTCATGCTACATTCTTCACAAGGGCCAGAAAGGTGCTCTGTTCCATGTAGTCATTCAAGGATCCAGGCAGACAGAGGCTTCACCATCTTGTATTTGCACCATTTGGAGCACGTGGCTTTTTCAGTTGCTGCTGTAGATAAAGAATAGACTGGAAAAATGCATATGATCTTTTTCCTGCCTCAGCCTGCAAGGGATGTATGTTACTTACATGCCTATTTCATTGGCCATAACTGATTACATCTGTAAGGAGACTGGGACATATAGGTGAGCAAGTGAAGCATATAGAAAGTAATAATGTCTCTAACATAAATATTTACAATTCAAAAATGTACAAATAATTTTATAGATGCATCCATAATTCACATTTTGTATCATCACCATTTTCTCCTAAATTACATAAAACTTATTTTATATATATATATATATTTTTTTTTTTTTTTTTGAGACGGAGTTTCGCTCTTGTTACCCAGGCTGGAGTGCAATGGCGCGATCTCGGCTCACCACAACCTCTGCCTCCTGGGTTCAGGCAATTCTCCTGCCTCAGCCTCCTGAGTTGCTGGGATTACAGGCACGAGCCACCATGCCCAGCTAATGTTTTGTATTTTTAGTAGAGACGAGGTTTCACCATGTTGAACAGGATGGTCTCGATCTCTTGACCTCGTGATCCACCCGCCTCAGCCTCCCACAGTGCTGGGATTACAGGCGTGAGCCACCGCGCCCGGCACTTATTTTATATATTGACGTGTGCTTCATATTTATCATTTATCACTGCCTGATAATTTTCATCAGGAGCATCAATGCCTATTCAATATTCTATTATATTTATATACCATAGTTTATAAATTTATTGACATTTAAGTAGTAATTTATTATTGTTTTTGCTCTTATAACTTTTTCAATTGGTGAAATGACATACCTTTATTAACTGATTTTTCTTAGATTAATTTCTAGTGCCATGAGGCTTTCCACTTTGGATGGTAAGAAGGAAGATAACATTTCTACTTATATGCATAAATTAATTCTAGGTAGTGAATTTTATTTATTTGCATATAATGTTTAGATATGGAAACTCTCATTTATTTTGACAAGAAAAATCTAAAGCTCATAAACCCCGAATCCTATATGCTTATTCTCACAAAAATCTCTAATGTCCTGCTGGGGTTTATCCACAGTTTAGATTAGACCTGGAATACATATGATCATGCGACTGTGATCTTAGAATGGGAATTTAACTTGGCTTTAAGAACTGAGCCTAAGGGTAACGAAATTGATTTTTTTTGTGTGGGAAGCTCCCATTATAATAATCAGAACATTATGACTCACTCGATTAAAGTTTTCCCCTGATTCATTGTATACATACAATGAAGGATCAAGATAGAGAAATGTTTAAATGGAAGCATTAGCCAGACAAGTTTGACCTCACAGTTTTACTAGGGGGTATATTACCTATTTTCGGATCTATTTCTAACATCTCAACTTTGTGAAAGCATTTTGGGAACCTGGTTAAATCCCGAAGAATGTTTCAATAGGAGGTTGGCTTTTATGAGTTATTGAATAGCCCGAGCTTCCTTTCAGAAAATGTTGCTGAGCAGGTATTGAAGACTATCAGTAAAATTTATTGAGAATTTGTTTATTATGTTTGATTAACACAGGTAAAAGCCAATATATTATTGATTAATATAGGTAAAAGCCAGTTAAGAAATTGGGGACGCTTTTTCTTCTGCTTGCTTTTACAATGCACAAGGCATTTCCCATTGATGCCCCTGATGAAAATTACCAGGCAGTCCTAGTCATTAGATCATCTAGCAGTTTGCGGTTTTAGAGACTTTAAGTTAGCTTTTGTCTTTCCTAGCCATACAATTGCATATTCTGTGATGATATTTTTGGTCCTTGATTTACACTGGATTCTTTCACAACCCACTGCTCATGAAATTTGCTTTTGTACTCACTGACTGTTTTTGCATTGGCCCATCCAGGCCATGACCAGCTGTCCAGATTTTATAAACGGGACCTTTGCAATGTGAACTGAGCTACATCAGGCAGGCAGGGGCAGGAAGATGGTGTCGCAGACCCCAGTCCTCATGTCCCTGGTGCTCTGGATCTCTGGTGAGGAATTCAAAAATGCCAGTCTTTTCAGAGTAATAACTGGGTAGAAATAAAAAAAATTAAGATGTAGTTGGAAATAATGACTACTTCCAATATGGATGCAATTATGTGCTGACATAATACTATTAGAAAGCATATTTAAACAACATATTTCATTTATATATGAGAAAGCGTGTGTAAATTTATGTATAATTATTGTCCATTACTGATTACAGGTGCTTATGGGGACATCGTGATGACCCAGTCTCCAGACTATCTGGCTGTGTCTCTGGGCGAGAGGGTCGCCATCAACTGCAAGTCCAGCCAGAGTCTTTTATACTCCAACAATAAGAACTACTTAGCCTGGTACCAGCAGAAACCAGGACAGGGTCCTAAGCTGCTTATCTCATGGGCATCGAGCCGGCCAGCAGAGGTCCCTGACCGATTCAGTGGCAGTGGATCTGGGACAGATTTCACTCTCACCATCAGTAGCCTGCATGCTGAAGATGTGGGACTTTATTACTGTCGGCAGTATTACAGCTTTCCTCCCACAGTGCTTCAGCCTCCAACACAAGCCTTCTCCCCACCCATTTGGGCCAGTGACTCTTTGCTGCAGCATCTGCTTCCTCTGCGCACAGCGCCAAACATGCATGCTTCCTCTGTCTGCCGGGGAGGTCACACTATTGATTTATTCCTTGGAGGGTTTGCAGGGCCCAGGATAAAATTAAGGAATTTGGCTTTTTCTGGATGTTTTTGTAGAAGATTATTGAAGCAAAATGTTCCAAAGATCCCTTAGAGACATTTTCAGGAGTTTTCGTGTTACAGGAACCTGCATGTTTCACATGGACAGATCACATGACCAAGCCAAATACATTTATCTTTACTCTCTAGAACGGGGTCCACTGAGTTTTACACACCGAATGGTCAATTCCTTCTTCCATGCGCCTCCTTGACTCTGGAAAGTTTCTTTTTGGATTCCTAACTCTCTTGGTCTTTTTTCTTTATCTGCAATCCTTCCCAATATTAAACCCTGATCCTTCTTATTCATAGCCTCCCACATAGAAGGTAGCATCCTTCTGTGGCTTTTTCCTTCCAGACACCCTGTTTTCCAACAAAACCCATCTGGTCAGTGTTGCTAAAAATTCTTACCCACTCTACCTCCTTTTGTTCTGCCTTTTCATCCCCCTCAATTTCTTTCCATCATATTAATATTTTCAAAGGCAATTTTCTAATTCTTTAACACTATTACACTAGAAATATGTGACAACATTTCTCATTGCCTTTTACAATAGTTTGACAACTTTCTTCTTATTTATCTTTTTATTTTTAATTTTCATGGTACATAGTAGGTATATATATTCATGGGGTACATGAGATGTTTTGATACAGGCATGCAATGTGTATAATCACATCATGAATAATGGGGTATCCAGCCCCATAAGCATTTATCCTTTGTGTTACAAACGATCCAAGTGTGCTATTTTAGTTTTTTAAAATTGTATAGTTATTATTGACTATAGTCACCCTGTTGGGCTATCACATATTAGGTCTTATTTACTCTTTCTATTTTCTTGTCTCTATTAACTATCCCCACTCTCTCCCTACTCCTTGCCGCCCACTACTCTTCTCAGCCTCTGGTCACTATCCTACTAGTCTCTATGTAGATGAATTCAATTGTTTTCATTTTTAGACCCTGCAAATACATGAGAATATGTGCTGTTTGTCTTTCTGTGCCTGGCTTATTTCACATAACATCACGATGTCTAGTTCCATTCATATATTGGCAATGACAGTATCTCATTTTATTTTATGGCTGAATAGTACTCCATTGTGTTTATGTACTACGTTTTCTTTTTCTGTTCATCTGTTGATGGACATTTAGGTTGGCTTCAAGTCTTAGCTGTTGTGAACAGTGCTGCAACAAATATGGGAGTGCAGATATCTCTTTGATATACTGATTTCCTTTCCTTTCAGTATATACTCAGCGGTGGAATTGCTGAATAATATGGTAGCTCTACTTTTAGCTTATTGAGGAACCTCCAAACTGTTCTCCATCGTGATTGCTCTAATTTACATTCCCACCGTCAGTGTACAAGGGTTTAGCCGGGCGCGGTGGCTCAAGCCTGTAATCCCAGCACTTTGGGAGGCCGAGGCGGGTGGATCACGAGGTCAAGAGATCGAGACCATCCTGGTCAACATGGTGAAACCCCGTCTCTACTAAAAATACAAAACATTAGCTGGGCATGGTGACGCGTGCCTGTAATCCCAGCTACTCAGGAGGCTGAGGCAGGAGAATTGCCTGAACCCGGGAGGCAGAGGTTGCGGTGAGCCGAGATCGCGCCATTGCAGTCCAGCCTGGGTAACAAGAGCGAAACTCCGTCTCAAAAAAAAAAAAAAAGAAAAAAAAGGGTTCCCTTTTCTCCACATTCTTGTCAGCATTTGTTACTGCCTGTATTTTGGATTTAAGCCATTATAACTGGGGTGAGACGATATCTCATTGTAGTTTTGATTTTCATTTCTCTAATGATCAATGACGCTGAGCACCTTTTAATATGCCTGTTTGCCATTTAGATGTCTACTTTTGAGAAATGTCTATTTAAATCTTGTGCCTATTTTTGACTGGATTATTAGACTTTTTCCCATAGAGTTGTTTTAGCTTTTTATATAAATTCTGGTTCTTAATATCTTGTCAGATGGGCAGTTTGTAATTTTTTTCCTCCATTCTGTGGTTGTCTCTTCATTTTTTTATTGCTTCCTTTGCTGCACAGAAGCTTTTTAACTTGATGTGGTCTCATTTGTCCACTTCTGCTTTGATTGCCTGTGCTTGTGGGGTATCACTCATGAAATCTTTGTCCAGACTGATGTCCTGGAGAGTTTCTCCAATGTTTTCTTGTAATGGTTTCTTAGTTTGTGATCTTAGACTTGTCTTTAATCCATTTTGATTTGCTTTTTGTATATGGTGAAAGATTGAAGCCTAGTTTTATTTTCCTGCCATATAGATATCCAATTTTCCCAGCATCATTTATTGAAGAGACTAATTTCTCTAGTATAAATTGATGACATCTTTGTTGAAAGTAAATTCACTGCAGGTATGTGGATTTATTTTAGGGTACTCTATTCTTTCCATAGGTCGATGTGTCTCTTTTTATGCCAATGCCATACTGTTTTGGTCATGATAGCTTTGTAGCATAATTTGAAGTCAGGTAATGCAACTCTTTCAGTTTTGTCCTTTTTGCTTAAAATAGCTTTGGCTATTGTGGGTATTTTGTGGTTTCATATACATTTAAGGATCGTTTTTTCTATTTCTGTGAGAAATGTCATTGGCATTTTTATAGGGATTGTATTTAATCTGTAGATTGCTTTGGATAGTAAGGAGATTTTTACAGTGCTGATTTTCCCAATCCATGAGCATGGAATATCTTTCAATTTTTTAGTGTCTTCAATTTATTTCATCAGTATTTTATAGTTTTCATTATAAAGATCTTTCACTTGTTCGGTTAAGTTAATTCTTATGTATTCAAGTGTGGCTATTGTAAATTGGATTATTCTTCTTATTATTTTTTCAGATTGTCCACTGTCAGCATATAGAAATGCTATTGTTTTTTGTATGTTGATTTTGTATCCTGCAACTTTACTGAGCTGGTTTATCAGTTCTAGCAGTTTTTTAGTAGAGTCTTTAGGTTTTTCAAAATATAAGATTATATCACCTGTTAACAAGAATAATTTGACTCCTTTCATTGAATTTTTGATATCCCTTATTCCTTTCTCTGGCCTGATTGCTCTATCTAGGACTTCCCCTACTATGCTGAATATTAGTGGTGAAAGTGTGCATCCTTGTCATGTTCCAGATTTCTCAGGAAAGGCTTCCATTTTTTCCCATTCAGCATGATACTGTGTGTCTGTTACATATAGTTTTATTATGTTATGTTTCTTCTACACCCAGCTTATTAAACACCCAGCATTTTGTTTTTGAATCTTCATTTTTACACACCCCTTTTATTGGCCATTTCTAGCTCCAAGAGGGACTGTGTTGATGTTGTTGTTTTCTAATAAGGAAAAAAGAGGAAAACTGAGGTTAGAAGACAAGTAGCCACCTGTGCATAGGGTCAGACATAAAGTCAAATGATCACTGATGCAGATCTGGTGATCAGACTCTCTGAAAAATCACCAAACTTAACACCAAATTCTAGGGACTCCATACCTAAAACTCCCTAAAATGAGATCAATGAAAATGAGCAGTGGGCAAAATTGAGACCCATGAGAATCTATCTAGTAGGATCATAATAAGTCAAGCAAATGGGCTTTACTTGGGTTTTCTGGATGTGTGTGTGTATGTGTATGTGTGTGTTTTAGCATTATACTTTAATTCTGGGGTACATGTGCAGACCATGTAGGTTTGTTATATATACATACACGTGCCATGGTGATTTGCTGCACCCATCAACTCATCATCTACATTAGGTATTTCTCCTAATGCTATCCCTCCCCTAGTCCCTAACAAGCTTACAGGCCCTGGTGTGTGATGTTTCCCTTCCTGTGTCCATGTGTTCTCATTGTTCAACTCTCACTTATGAGTGAGAACATGTGGTGTTTGGTTTTTTGTTCCTGTGTTAGTTTGCTGAGAATGATGGTTTCCACCTTCATCCATGCCCCTGCAAAGGACATGAACTCATCCTTTTTTTATGGCTGCATAGTATTCCATGGTGTATATGTGCCACATTTTCTTTATCCAGTCTGTCATTGATGGACATTTGGGTTGGTTCCAAATCTTTGCTATTGTGAACAGAGCTGCAGTAAACATACATGTGCATGTGTCTTTATAGTAGAATGATTTATAATCCTTTGGGAGTACATCACTAATGGGATTGCTGGGTCAAATGTTATTTCTTGTTCTAGATCCTTTAGGAATTGCCACACTGTCTTCCACAATGGTTGAACTAATAAGTGTTTTTATCTTAATGGTAAAAATCATTAAGATAAAAAAAATGAGATGTTGAATTTTACCAAATGCTTATTCTGCATCAATTAAAATGATCATATGTTTTTTGTCCTTCATCCTGCTATTAAGGACATATCACATTGATTCATTTGTGGATGTTGAATCATCCTTGCATCTCAGAAATAAATCCCACTTGGTTATGATGAATGATCTTTTTAATGTATTGTTGAGTTCGGTTTGCTAGTATTTTGTTGAGGAGTTTTGCATCAATATTCATCAGAGATATTAGCCTGTAGTTTTCTTTTTTTGATGTGTCTTTGTCTTATTTTGGTATTAAGGTAATACTGGTTTCATAGAATAAGATTAGAAGTAGACCCTCCTCTGTTTTTTGGAATAGTTTCAGTAGAATTGGTATTATTTCTTCTTTAAATGTTTGGTAGAATTCAGAAACAAAGTTATCGGGTCCTAGTATTTTTTTTTTTTTTCTGGACACTTTTTATTATGGCTTTGATATTGTTATTTGTTGTTGGTCTGTTAAAATTTTGGATTTCTTCCTGGTTCAACGTTGGTAGGTTGTGTATATCTAGGAATTTTTACATTTCTTCTAGATTTTTTAACTTATTGGCATAAAGTTGTTCATAGTTGCCAGTAATGATACTTTGTATTTCTGTAGTATCAGTTGTAATGTCTTCTTTTTAATCTCTGGTTTCATTTACCTGGCTCTTCTTTCTTTTTTTCTTAGTTTGGCTAAAGGTTTGTCAATTTTGTTTAACTTTTCTAAAAATCAGCTTTTCGTTTCATTGATTTTTTTGTATTGTTTTCTTCATTTCAATTTTATTTCTGCTCTGATCTTTATTATTTATTTTCTTCTACTAATTTTGAGTTTGATTTGCTTTTGCTTGCCTAATTTTTTATGATTCATCATAAAATTGTTTATTTGAAGTTTTTTCTCTCTTTTGATGTAGGGAATGTAGAGCTATAAACTTTCGTTTTAGTAGTGTTTTTGCTTATCCCATAGCTTTTGACATGTAGTATTTCGATTATCGTTCATTTCAAAAATTTTTCCAATTTTCTTCTTAATTTTTTCATTTACCCACTTGGCCATTAAGGAGCATATGGTTTAATTTTCATGTATTAGCAAAGTTTCAATAATTCCTTTTGTCATTGATTTCTAGTTTTATTCCATTGTGTTCAGAGAAGATGTTAAATATTATTTCAGTTTTTTGTATATACATGTATATATATATATATATATATATTTGGAGAAAAGGGAACTTTTATTGTTGCTTTTTATTGACCCATCTGCTTTATGTTCT